GAAGAAGAAGAAGAAGAGAGAGAGAAGAGAGAGAGAGAGAGAGAGAGAGGGGGAGAGAGAGAAAAAAGAATAATTCATACGCAATTAAAAAGAAAGACGACCGAACAACAAAAACGTTCTAATTCTAATCAGAAATCAGCACGCTCAACTTTCGAAATCTACAAATCGAACTCTTTACAAATGCTGATGATCAAATGAGGATGTACAGATATATATAGTAACGATGAAACAACGAGAAAAGAAAGTAATAAGTAACAACAATTAAGTTTCGTTCTCATTTACTACTTCAGCATCTTTCTTATTTCTTACTACTTTTCTTTTTTTTTCTTTTTCTTTTTTTCTCAATTCGTCCATTTTACTCTTTCCAATTTTTTTCCTTACCGACTCGTCGCCAATGGATCTCAACTTGATGTTGCTTTAACCGTTGCTCGTTGGCGAAACGTGCTCTTCCGGAAAAATCACACGAACGAAAGAAATTCGTGTCCTCGAATTCGTTGCGGTTAACCGGCACGTCGATTGGCATGCATTAAAAACGAAGGACAGAGAAAGAGAGAGAAAAATAGAGAGAGAGAAATAGACAGAGATCAAAAAAAAAAAAGGAAGATAAATCGTACGACTCGTAAGCCTGCCGTCCCTAGAAAATATTCGTTCTTTTTCTGTGCTGCGTGAAGGAAATCCTGGACTTCCGGCTTGTGTGCTATCACCTATCGTGTCGTATATACTTATACATATATATATATAGATATTCTTTTTTCCGCCATCTTCTAAAAAAAAAAAAAAACACTCTCTTTGCGCGCAAGTGCTGTCGCCTCGAAGAGGATTGGAGTACCTGTGTCGCGTCAGCGTTACGTGGCTTCGAAACCTTATGCAAAATCGAGCCATTTTAGCGAACGAAAGGTATCGGGTTGATAGGATGGACACGTTTCCGGCTGGACACTTCGACCCATATTCAACTCGATTCCATGCGAAATCCCTGCGCGAATCTCTCTCTATCGATACTCGAGGAAACAGTGTTCCATCGAAATTTCGATACCTAAGTTTGTAGAAGATTCCACAAAGTTTCGAAGAAATGGAACTACGTCGAATTTTTAGGATTTTTTTAACAACATTTAATTCGAAATGAAACGGGGAACAATTGTTTCGAAGAGGCATTCGAAGAACGTATTCGAAGATGTTATCATCTTGCCTATCGTGCTTACCATTTTCCCTGAGGCTGAAACACGGCGAAGGACGAAAAAAACAAAAGTGCGACGTAACCCGTGCGTACGATCTGTTGCGAAAAAATGATGGAGGAAGACGGCGCAGGTTGACGAACGGCAGGACTTAAAAAGCGCTACTTCGCGGCGCGATTACACAGGGATTCGCTATTTTGAGAGAAGCTGCGAATAGGAGGAAGGAAATTCGTTTCGTATTTGTCAGGGACGAAACGAAACGCGAAACTTTGAATCGTCGATCGACGAGATCTCGACAATTAATTACTCGTGAATGCGGCACGCGAAAGGCTCGAGTAAACGTTACCCGAACGATAAAGATTACCAAAGGCTGTTCGTTGTGTGTTCGTATTGGCGGTTGGAAATCGGTTTCCAGTCGCTGGTTTCTACGGGAACGAAGATAAATAAATAACGGAAGGAACGAAGCGAAATGTAAATAAAACGCGTTAGCGTCTGTTTTATTCCCTTGTTCCAACAACAATAATAATTTGTTGTCTATCAATTATAATGACGAGGGACGGAGAAAGATCCGTCGTTAATATCGAGAGTACGTAATATTTATCGCGTTACGTTTTACGTGTGGAGAAAAATACGATTTATTTTTATCGATTTCTTCCCTTCCTTTTTTTGCGTTGTATAAAGCGATCGAAATAAAGAATAATCGGATATTAATTTCACTTTTTTCCGGATATTGTATTTAAAAAGAGCGAGCGAATCAAGCCGAGGAAAGAAAGGTTGAAAATTAGCCGGTCGACAATCACGGAAATAAGATGAATATAATTCACCGTGCGTTTTAGTATAATTCAGTTGAAACAACTTAGCGAAGACTCGGAAGTCTGGAAACAAGCTTCGCAACTTTAAATTACTCGCGTTCCTCGAGGGAGTTGGGATCGTTTATACGGGTGGGGGAGGAAAGGAGGGAGGGATCCTGCAGGATGCGCGCTCGGGAATGGAATGGCTTTCGAATGACGAGTAGTGGAACGTCGTTTTATGCGCATTAGGACACGTGTATCCGATAACGCGCGCGTTTATCTGTACACGTCGCCGTTTCCGTTTCGCTCGCTCCATTCCGCACACTCGGCCAGACGTTATTCGGATCGTACCGTCCTCCAGGACAACGCACGACTATGGCACAACCGGCCGTAATATCCCGAGGCGAAACAAACGCGGGGAAAGTCAGGTGTTTCTTATCGCCCTCTCCTCGGAATCGTTGCGCCGTCCGTTCCTCTTATCGTTCCCAAACCTCGATCGCCGAGCACTCTATTTTACGCTCGATCGACTCTTGTTCCTTCAAAACCCCTCTTAAATTCCCTTCCAAAAACTTTCTTATTGGCCAACGAGTTTCGCGACTTTCCATCGATTTCACACTCGAGTCGCGCAACTCCTCCGCCCCTCGTGAAATTCTCCTCTCTAAGGAAATTTCACGATCGATAGAGAGACGGATCGTTCGAGTGTCCTCGAGCCTGCGTCGATCTTGCCCGGCCTAAGTATTATAATTCGAGGGTTGCGTGTTCGACGATTGACCGGCGACGTTTACAAAAGACTCGATCTCCTTTCGATCGCGTCGTTAAGTTCGACGTACTCGAACGAGTTTAATTTACGATCCTTTGTTTCACGAGACGTTGAGGCCGCAAAACACGTTTTGCCACATCCGCTACTACGTCGAATCGAGATCCGTCAATAACAAAGCGAGAACCCTCGAACAGTCCTCGATGCGTCCTCCGATGGTTTGGTCGATCGATGGAGCGCGCGGATGTATCGAGCAGGGTTGGTGGAATTTCTCGAAAAATTCGAGATTTATTTCCCTGCTAATCATCAGGAATACGCGCAGAGAGAAAGAAAGAGAGAAAGAGACCGTATTTTCGAGGCCGGTGAAAATAGTTCGTTAACGATATCGGAGGGGGAGGATGTCGGACGCGGCGTCGAAAAACGATGATATCGAAATCACGGTACCGCCGTGCTATCGCGCTTGCATCGACTCGTAACACGGCTAACTCGAATTTACGGTAGTTTTTACGCGCGACCCAACGACCCATCCCGGCTCTTAGTGAATATGAATGGGAAGAGCGGAAGAGAAACATTGCAACGCGTCGCGTTTCGCGCGTGCCTTGGAAAACAACAGAGCGTCTCCTCTGCGGTTACCTTCCTCTTTCTTCGGTGCGAGCAACGTCCCTCGAAAGAATTAACTTCCGGTTAACGAAGATCGACGAGGGACACGCGCTCTCTCTCTCTCTCTCCGCGTCGTTATTTACCGAGATTGTTCGCCCGCCTCGTCGTAATTCGATCATCATCCTCTTAATGCGAGAAAGTTGACGCGCGTCAAAGAATGGAAGGAAGAATCCGTCGGAACGAAGATAAGAAAGTGATTCAGACCGGATGGTGGCGAAGGAACGAGTTGTCGCCGACTTTGGGAACCGAATCATCGACCGGGTTGGCGAACTCGTTGAAAAGTCGCGTTACCGCGGAAACTCGAAACTAATTTGCCTGTGCGAGGCTGTATCCTCGCGAGAGGCCGCCGCGATCCGACTCGCGAGCAAACTTCCGGGGAAACTAGGCTTGTAACGTAATGTTCGAAGGGTGGAAGGAGGAGGAAACCTCGTTGGGGAGAAAACGTGCTCGCGTTGGTGGAGGAAAAAACGTGGTCGAACGAAAGGGAGGAGGAGGGAGCAGCGAGGAGAAATGTAATTGCGAGACGAGGTGTCTTTGAAGGAAGCGTGAGCCATCTGGCTGGGGTTATCTCTCGCTATTTTCTTTCTCTTTCCTTTCTTCTTTTTTTTTTTTTTGTTTCTTTTATAAGAAATATTCCACCGGTCGGGGAGCGTTATCCTCCTTAAATAGACCTTTTGCCGCTCTTCTTAGCGGGATAGGGAAAAAAAGAAGAAGAAGAATCCCCCGGTAACGTGATATCATCATATCCACCTTAATATTCTATCTTCGCGCGAATTCGTTGGGAAAATAAGAATCCGAGCTCTCTGTATTCAGAGAGCAAACTCGAGAGCGACCGTTCCACGAACTCCGGGGCTTTGCGTGGAAAATTCAAACGGATCGAAACGCGTCCCTCAACGCAAAGACAAATGTATCTACACCCTTTCTACACTCTCGAAACACGAAACATTCTTTCCCGGAAAGAACGATTCTCGAGTTAAATTTCACGAGATTTCGATTTAATCCATTGAAACATCTACGTGGAGCATGAAAATTCAAAGGTGGTGAAGGGCGACGAAGAACCGAGGAAGATGGGATCACGTCGAGATAAGGGGAGTGGAAGTATCATCGCGAGAAAGGAGAAAACGCGAATCGATTCCAATGTCGAAACACACACTCCGGTACTCCAATCTTCCTTGTTGGCTGTTCCGTATCTGTGCCTTAATATGTATATACACGCGTGTACGTATATATATAATTCATATGTATATACATATATACAATGTATAAATAAACGTATATATATATATATATACACACATATATATGTATATATATACATACAGAGAGAAAGACAGTCAGAGACAAGTATACATCTGGCTGGCACACGGTTTATGTACACAGGTTCTTACAGCTACCATATGTCGATTTTTGTTGTTGCTCGTTTGAGACACCAACCAGCAACGGAGAGGCTGGTCGAGTATTCGGCCAGGCCAGCGACGTTGCTGATCTGGCACGTGTAGTTCCCGCTGTGCTTAGCGCTGACGTTATTTATCGTCAGGATGCTGGAAAACGGCGGATAGTCGCTTATCTGTATGTTGTTGTTGCCCGTCTCGAGAAAGGCCGCGGTGAATCCGCCCGAGGAGGAGGAGGACGACGACGACGACGACGACGACGACGACGACGAGGACGACGACGACGCCGAGGACGACGCCGACGCACCGTCACCCGATCTGACCTGAATCGGTTTCTCGTCCATCAACCACGTGATGTTGAACGGCTGGTCACCCTGGCTCGTGGTACACATTAGCTGTGTCCTCATCCCCTCCGTCACACCGTTCTCGAAATAAAACGGCGAGATCCGCGGTGGAACTATAAACGTGACGTGTGATAATAGTATGTACTACCTGCATGCCGGACACTAACCGTTTCTCCTTATTAGCGTATCTCGACCAGAGATTACGCTCCCGTCTTCTTTCCCTATTTTTTTCTTTTCTTTTTTTTTTTCTTTTCTTTTTTCTTTTTCGTTTGCAGTGGAAAAAGGTAGTTTCGGGAGTATGGACGACGAGAGGGGAGTTTTGAAGAGCGACGAGTGCGCGACGAACGCGTCGTAGGAAAGACGTACAACACCGCCGTTGCGCGACGAGACTCTCTCCATCCCCAATATTATCTTCCTCGGGAATTTTCGTTCGATTCTATCTCGTATCGAAAGGGAGTCAAGTGTTAGGCCGCGGGGAAATTGGAAACGGCAAGTCGGATAATTACATCGAAACGGTGAAACTCGCCGAGACTGGAGAGGAGCGGGCCGGAATTAATAGCGGCAGAGAGTTACGCGTCGAAAACAACGGAGAGTTGATAAATCTTCTTCCCGAACGTCTGAAATTAACATTAAAATAGAACTGGCGGATACAAACTGCTCCGAGTTTAATCCGTTGCCCGAGGACGGGGGCTTAATTAATGTTCCTCTCTCGGTGGCGAATTCAAAAAGAACGCTATCTGCAAAAAGAAAATCCGTATTTCCCGCGTTCGATCCTCTCGCTCGATCCCCTCCTCTTTCTCTTTGAATCGAAGTCTCGTCGCGGAACGGGGACAGGAGGTCACGAAATTCGCGACCACCGTTGTTTGATCGAATCCGCGCCGATCCCCCAACGTGAAATGGACACCGGTGGTTGCTCCATTTCGTCGTTGTCCGACCAAACACGGACAACCCACCACTTCCCGCCCCACGGACGAATTTCGAGCAGCTCGGGGTTTGTACAAGAACCGAGCTTGATAACGGCAATAACTTGGAGTTTCTGCTACGTGTTTCCCGCTACGTGACCTCCGGAAACGTGGACGTTGGACAGGTGTGGCCCCAGCGGCGGCCGGAGCACGTGAAAAATGGCGGCTCGACCATAAATATTCGGTCGCAGCGCGCCCACGTATACCTCGTGGCCTGGAAAATGAACATTTATGAGGCGGGGTAACTGCTAATGTTCAGACCGATGCGTCTTTACGAGGGTGGTCTGACGAGAAAAAGTAAAGTTGGGAGAACCGAGAGACGATCGCGCCGCTCCTTCTCTTCTCTTCATTGGAGAACCGTTCGATCTTTGGCTTCGTTGTTCGCTTCCTCGACGCGTGTTTTTCGCGCGAAGCAGATTCGAAAAAAAAAATTATTATATTATCGATATAATAATCATCGAATATAATAATTCATGATTGGATCGTTTTTATTTTTTGTTTTTCGTTTTTTTTTTTTTCTTTTTTTGGCTTTCTTTTCTCATTCGATTTGATTAACGATGAACTACTTACCATCACTTGTATAGGGCCTGTATCGAGCTGATCAATTATCGAAACGAGCGTGAAAACTAAATATAGGGCGGAAAAAACACGAGAGAGAGGTGGAAAATTCGGCCGAAATTTCGAGGATTGTTTGACCGATCGAGTTTCTTCAACATGATTTAACGGTATATCGAGTTCGTAATGATACACCGTCAGGATCGGTTTCATTCGCGCGGATTGAGAACTCTGTCTCTCTCTCTCTCTCGTATCGATTTCCCCCCCCGATAGAAATATGATTTACTACTACTGGTCCCAAATATAATATTTGAATGGCAATAATGATGATAATGATGACAGTAAACAAACGATAGAGAATATCTCGAGCGTAAACATAGCATAGTCTTGATAAAAAGATATACTGTACTACTGGAATAGTGATGTATAATATAATGTGACTCGGTCAGAATCGGTCAAAATATATATATATATATACGTGATTGATACACGATATACAAGACAAATATCGAGAGAGCAACAAAGGTGGACGGTTCATTCGAAACGGGACAAAAGAGCACGATTCCTACTGTATTTGCGGATCGTGTGTTCGAGGTGTCGTTGTTCTACAACGATCCGACTAGAAAGAATACCATAGAAATTCCATATATATACATATATATACTATAATGCGAATAATATATATATATATATATAATAATAAAACGCAATATTCAATCAAAACATTACACGAATCTCTCGAACATATTAATGCTGAACGATGCAAAAAAAAAAAAGTACACACGCGCATGTTGTGTTGTGCGAAGATTAAAAAGTCAGCACGATACGTTTACGTTTCACGTGGAAGCGATCTCACGCTGTGACATCGAGCCCGATCCCGCGGCTGCCGAGCGCAAAATTAAACGAAAAATCCTAATCTGACGCCGGATTCCCGTTTAATTTCGCGGCAGCCAATTCGAAACCAGTCCGAACACGAGTTTCTCCGCGAGCATTTGCCGGAGAGAAGACAGGAGAGACGGACGGACGGATGGAAGGACGAGTTAGAGAAACGTAGAGAGAGAGAGAAAGAGAGAGAGAGAGAGAGAGAGAGAAGAGAGAGTAGGAGACGGAATGTACGTACGTGTAATTGCAGGGATTCTATCTACGTAGTACGCGATTGAACGAGTGTTTGTAAATATGTGATGTGTGTGCGTGTGAACGTAAGAGTCGGAGCAACGAGTCGAAACTCGCCCCCGAAGCAGATTTTCAACGAGCATTTCGATGTCACAGATCGCAATTATATAAATATACACGAGCATATATATACACTTTCAAAAGTCCGACTGATTCAGCCCGATTATTGCGCACTATTTAGAATTAAAAAAAAAAAAAAGAAAAAACGTTCGTGAACGACGACCAGCACGTGGAAACACTGTTAACTGTTACATACACAATATTTACAATATTTACACAATGTATCGATATAGCGTTCGTAGGTATTAATAATAATAATAATAATAATAATAATAATAATAATAATAACAATATATACACATACATTTATTCGAGAAAAAAAGGCGTGCAATTGAGGCGTGCAAAAGAGAACAGCGTGCGGGATAGAGTCGTCATGAGTACCTCACCGAGGGTGTAAAAGAAAAAAAAAAAGAAGGATAGAGACAGAGAGTACGGTGGGATTAAAAAATCGTAAGGAAGTAAGAGAATCGAAAAAATTCGCGGCACGTCCTCACCGGGGACACGCGGCACACACACACTCTCTCTCTCTAACTCCCACAGCGAGGGCAACGAATCATCTCGCCGTCTCGATTTTCACCCACCGCCGCCACTTCTAATCTAAATTGAAATCTAATAATCCACGACGAGACGGCGCGCGACACGTTTCACCACGCTCGATATCCTTCGCCTCGCGATATTCCTTGGGAACCATTTTCGAACTAACCGTTGCTAGAGAGAAGAAAAAGAAAAGAAAGAGAGAGAGAGAGAGAGAGAGAGAATTTAAAAAACGAGGTTAAAGAAATAGAACGGTTCACGAACGGTGAGTGGAAAAACCGTGGCGGTACGAAAAAGCAGAGAAGTAGAGAGAGAAAAAGGTCTCGCCAATTGTCGCCGGTCGAACGTGCCGCGTTGGGCGTGCACTTTGGACTAGCATCATAGCAGAAACAGGTCGCGTCGAATGACTTCGGACAGCCGGTAATAATCTTTCGGGAGGTCCGAGATCATTCTCGACGATCTTCAGTGTACGTGGGTGCTTAAGAAACTCGACTCGCGAACGACGACAGAGGTGGATCTCTCTAGGAAATGCCACAAACGAATG